GAATAGAATAGAATAGAATAGAATAGAATAGAATAGAATAGAATAGAATAGAATAGAATAGAATACAAAATATGGAATGGAATGGAACAGAACAGAACAGAAAATACAGAATGGAATGGAATGGAATGGAACGGAACGGAACAGAATAGAAAAAATGGAATGGAATACAAAATATGGAACAGAACAGAACAGAAAATATGGAATGGAATGGAATATATGAGATAGGATAGGATGAGTTGAAAGGGACCTTGGAGGTCTTCTAGTCCAACCCCACTGCATAGGGGCCTGGAGACTAAAACACATGAAAAGCGGTTGCAGGATTTGGCTACTCTAGAGAAAAGACTAGGGGTGACATGATAGCAGTCTTCCAGTTAAATGAATCCGGCTTCTCCACTGGCTTGCCAGAAGTTCGCAAAAGGGGATCACGTGACCCCCGGGGACACTGTGACTGTCCTAAATATGAGCCAGTTGCCAAGTATCCAAATGTTGATCACGTGACCACAGGGATGCTGGAACAGTCGTAAGTGTGAAAAATGGTCATAAGTCACTTTTTTCAAGAAGTGAGGGGAGCCAAATGTCAACTCATAAAATATTTCTATGGTCTTTTTAGAGTTGCCAACAAAAAGGGAGCGGGGAAAGCGGCAGCTTGGAAATCAAAAGTGCATTCCATAAATAGTTTTTTCAAAGATAGTAACTAGGAGACTGAAGTTTCTGCCATGCAAATATCTAACTGGAGAACATGATTGATGACTGGGCTATGGAGGTGTCCCATTGGAGGATATGAATTACGATACACCCAGAGGGGTCGGGGGAAAACCAGGGTCAAGGGTGACAGTGAATTATGTGCTTCAGAGTTGGCTCCACCCAGGCAGTGCCGGACATGTTAACCTCCCAATAAATCCTTTGGAAGTTTTGGAAGTTTGGCTCAAGACGCATGATTTAAGTGGGGTAACTGCCAGAATCCTGACACCGTTGTAACTTTGGCCACTAAATGAACAGTTATAAGTCGACGACTAGCTGTATATGAGAAGGAGGATGTACAATTGTGCATTTTGATTAGGTACTTGAGATAAAACGATTGGCATCCTTTTGATTGGGAGGTCATTTAGATTTAAAAGTGTTACTGCGGTTTGTTATATTTGTCGTAAGCCTCCCGGGGCGGTATTGAATTAGGTGGTCTCAAAAGTACCTGTAATAAATACATTCCTGTGCTGGCTGTCTTCATTTAGCAGCCACAACTGGGATCAGCAACACGGCCCATTAAGCGAAGCAGTCGCTAAGTGAAACTGCTCCTCTCCACACGGTCTTCGTTCAGCTGTCGTTTGCTTTGCCAGCCCGTGAAAATTGCAAATCGAAGGATCGGTCGTAAAGTTGATTGATTGATTGATTGATTGATTTGATTTGATTTGATTTGTCAATTGTTTACAAGATAAATATAAGTGTATACATAGTTATGAATACATGAAATGGGTACATATAAGAAAAATAAAAGAAAAATAAAAGAAACAATAGGACAGGGACGGTAGGCACGTTGGTGCGCTTATGCACGCCCCCTACAGACCTCTTAGGAAAGGGGTGAGGTCAATAGTAGACAGTGTAAGGTTAAAGTTTTTGGGGTTTGGGGAAGAAACCACAGAGTCAGGTAGAGTATTCCAGACATTGACCACTCTGTTGCTGAAGTCGTATTTCCTGCAATCAAGTTTGGTGCGATTAACCTTGAGTTTGTATCTATTGTGTGCTCTTGTGTTGTTATGGTTGAAGCTGAAGTATTCATTGACAGGTAGGACATTGCAATGTATGATTTTATATACCATACTTAGATCGGACCGAAGATGGCGTAATTCAAGGTTTTCTAGTTCTAGAATTTCAAGTCTGGTGGCATAAGGTATTCTACAACGATTAGAGGAGTGGAGAACTCTTCTTGTGAAATATTTCTGGACTTTCTCAATTGTGCTAATATCAGATACGTAATGTGGGTTCCAGACTGATGAGCTGTATTCGAGTATTGGTCTAGCAAATGTTTTGTATGCTCTAGTTAGTAGTGTGATATTACCAGAGAAAAAGCTACGTAGGATTAGGTTAACAACTCTTAATGCCTTTTTGGCTATGTAGTTGCAGTGGGCTCTAGCACGTAGATCATTAGAGGTGAGTATTCCAAGGTCCTTTACAGAGTTTGGATCACCAACAAGATCTTGACTATTCAGCTTGTATTTTATTTTCTGATTTTTTTTGCCAATATGTAAGACAGAGCATTTATTTGTTGAGATTTGAAGTTGCCATTTGTTTGACCATTCTGATACATAGTCAAGATCTTTTTGAAAGGTAGCAGTATTGTCTGTGGTATTGAACAGCTTTACATCATCAGCGAAAAGAACGCAGTTGCTCTTAATATGATCACAGAGGTCATTTATGTTGTTATTATTTTCCCCCATCCCTGCTGTAACCATGAACGGTCAGTCTCCGAGGTGGTTGCTAAATGAGAACTACTTGCAATAAGTAAATGCTCCTCTTTTTTTAAAAAAATAATAATCTTTTTTGTTTGTTTGTTTGTTCACAGCTGGTCAGCGAGAAGGTCGGCGGGGCAGAAGGAACCAAGCTGGATGAAGACTTCAAAGAAATGGAGAAGGTGTGTAAGGATAACAAACTAACAATGCATGGGGGAAATGGTTTTGTGTGGTATGGGCAGTGTCTACATGAGGGGTCTCCAAATTTGGCAACTTTTAAGACTTTGTGGACTTCAACCCCCAGAATTCCCCAAGTCATTCTCTTGCCTGGGGAATTCTAGGCGTTGAAGTCCACAAGTTTCAAAGTTGCCAAGTTTGGACATTCATTGTGATGACCCAAAGGGATGTGGCACAAAGGCAGTACAGTCAGATAAGCAATAACAGTCTCTTTATTATCTCCAACTTTGTCCCCAATGTCCAAGTTACCTTCGGGCTGAAGAAAAACATAGGAGTTTGAAAGGATGTTTTTTTAAACTTAATTTTGATTTAAGTCTGTAATTTAGAGGCCGCATAATTCCACACGAATCTGAGCGGCTTACACCTTTAAAAGGAAGAAGCAATCATGATAGAAAAAAGAACATGGATGCACAAAAAGCAACAATTCATAACAGTTTTTAAAAATCCTACAAGGTTCGTATCCCAAGGCCTGGGAAAAGAACTAAGTTTTCAACAATTTCCAGGATATAAACTTGACAGCAAACTGCACTCCTTACTGGCACTGATGATGTTACCTAGTTGGGTCATGAAACATCTGCAAGAAAACAAGCAAGCTACAAATATTCTCCTTTTTTTAAGTAAAGGCCAGTGTAGTGTTTTACTGCATTTTCTTGCCGTTCTGCTCCAGACACGACATATTCCTCAAATTGTTTATTTTAACAATGGGTTTGCCAAATCCCTTCACTGAATTTACTTTGCCTTGATATATATATATATATATATCCATCCATCGAGAACAAGTTTCCCCTAGGAATTTGTGCAAAACCCTTGAAAATCACTCATCTAAGCCAGAAACTTAAAAAAAAACAGAAAACCTGGCATTTCTGTTGCTAAGTGAGATGGTTGTTAAGTGAGTTTTGCTCCATTTTACAACCTTTCTTGCCACCGTTGTTAAGGGAATCAGTGCAGTTATGAAGTTAGTAACAAAACAGTTAAGCCAAAATGAAATTCAATGTAGAGAAAATGAAATTCAGTGTAGAGAAAAGTAAAAGTCCTACACTTAGGCGGGAAAACCAAAACGACACATATAGACTGGGTGAAACCAGGCTCAGTAGCAGGAACTGTGAGAGGGATCTTGGAGTCTTAGTGGACAACTAGCTAAATAGGAGCCAGCCGTGTGCAGCAGCAGCCAAAAAAGCTAATGCAATCCTAAGTTTCATTAACAGAGGGATACAATCGAGATCAAGGGAGGCACTAATACCACTCTATAAAGCCTTAGTAAGACCACAAACTGGAGTCCTGCATCCAGTTTTGGTCACCACATTATAAAAAAGATGTTGAGACTCTAGAAAAAGTACAGAGAAGAGCAACCAGGATGATGAGGGGACTGGAGACTAAAACATATGAAGAATGATTGAAACTGGGCCTGGCTCGTCTAGGGAAGAGAAGGACCAGGGGAGACAGGAGAGCAGTCTTCCAATATTCAAGGGGCTGCCACAGAGAGGAAGAGGCCAAGCTATTCTCTCCAAGGTATCTAAAGGCCAGACAAGGAATAATGGATGGAAACTGATCCAGGAGAGATTCAACCTGGGAATAAGGAGAAACTTTCTGACAGGGAGAACAATCAACCCATGGAACAGAATTTGGCACTTGCCATCACTTGAGACTTTCAAGAAGAGACTGCACTGCCATTTGTCAGAAATGGTGTAGGGTCTCCCGCTTGGGGGGGGGGGGGTTGGACTAGATGACCTATAAGGTCCCTTCCAACTCTGATTATCTGTGATCTGTTAAGACAATTAGCTGAAGTTGTTAAGTTAGCCACAAGGTTGTTAAGTGAATCTGGCTTTCCACATTGTCAGAAGGTCGTAAAAAGAGATCATATGATCCTGCAACATTGCCACCGTTATAAGTATGAACCAAAAGCATCTGAATTTTGATCATGTGACCATGGGTATGCTACGACAGTCATAAGTGTAAAAAAAAAACCCGTCACAGGTCTCTTTTTTCACTGCCGTTGTAACTGTGAACAGTCACTAAATGAAGAAGTTGTAAGTTGATGAATACCAGTATATAAATTTCCACGCAGGCTTGTAATAGTTTTCAGAAGAAATGAAATCAAACTCCCGTTCCTTGCCCATTAAAAGTTAACATATTGAAAGCAAGAAATATCAGTAGAATAAGAATGGGACAGAGAATAGGATAGGATAGAGAAATAGAAATAGAACAGAAAATAGAACAGAAAACAGAATAGGGGAATAGATATAGAATAGGAGAATAGAATAGAAAATAGAATAGAATAGAAAATAGAATAGAATATAATAGAGAATAGAATAGAAAATAGAATAGAATAGAAAATACAATAGAATAGAGAATAGAAAATAGAATAGAATAGAATAGAGAATAGAATAGAATTCAATTCTTTATTGGCCAAGTGTGATTAGACACACAAGGAATTTGTCTTCAGTGCGTAAGCTCTCAGTGTACACAAAAGATATAAGTGATGAATCATGATCATAGTAGTCATAAATACACGAATCACAAATCATATGATACAACTCTTAGTGATAGTCATAGGTTACTAAATTAGCAATCAACATAAATCATACTATGAAATCAAGTAAAACAATATAAATTGTGAAGATACAAGCAACAAAGTTATAGTCATAAGAAGATAAAGGAGATCGATAATGGGAAGGATGGGAAGAATAATAGTAATGGAGTCTTGGTAAATAGTTTGACAGTGTTGTGGGCATTTGTTGTTTAGCGGAGTGTTGGCATGGGGGTGCGGGGAAACTATGCTTGTGTCTAGTTGTTCTGGTGTGCAATGCCTTATATAACGTCATTTTGAGATAGATTGCCGTTTAAGTTTGCAATAGGTAGACATTTCAATAGATTGAAACTTCTGGGCAGAATAAAAACATCTTTGGCCTGGCAAATACAATGCAATTATATCTAATATTGTTCTGATAGGGAGGGCATTCCAAGGCTGGGTGTGGCCACTAATACAATTATTTGCTCTCAGGTGAGCAACCTGCATATTTCACTTTCGCCATACACCTGGCACCATGCTCAAAAACACAACAGTGCCCAGCCTTCTTCTCTTTTGGGTAGAATTCATACAGTTTGCTCAGGAACCAGAGAATCTCTGTAGAATAATTCCATAATTCATGTCCCAAAGGTGGTTTTTTTTTTTTCAAGAGGCAACTGGACTTCCTTGTTTTTTTCTTTGAAGACGTTTCGCTTCTCATCCCAGAAGCTTCTTCAGCTCTGGCTGGATGTTGGGAAAATGGAAGGATTTATACTCCTTGCAGGCAGCTGGTCATTTGCATCCTTTTATAGCAAGGGTCTTCAAACTTGACAGCTTTAAGACTTGTGGACTTCGGTTCTCAGAATTCCTCCTCCAGTCATGTTAGCTCAGGAATTCTGGGAGTTGAATTCCACAAGTCTTAAAATGGCCGACGTTGAAGACCCCTTGACAGCTTTAAGACTTGTGGACTTCAACTCCCAGAATTCCTCCTCCAGTCATGTTAGCTCAGGAATTCTGGGAGTTGAAGGCCACAAGTCTTAAAATGGCTGATGTTGAAGGCCCCCCCATGTTAGACAGGGGCCTTCAAACTTGACAGCTTTAAGACTTGTGGACTTCAACTCCCAGAATTCCTCCTCCAGTCATGTTAGCTCAGGAATTCTGGGAGTTGAATTCCACAAGTCTTAAAATGGCCGACGTTGAAGACCCCTTGACAGCTTTAAGACTTGTGGACTTCAACTCCCAGAATTCCTCCTCCAGTCATGTTATCTCAGGAATTCTGGGAGT